CTATATTTTACATTAAAAGCTCAAGGCCTACTTCTGCTGTGATGATGTTAATGTGTTTTAACTAATTATTAAACCTCACAACTTGTAATACAATCCGTGATCTAATAATTGTTTAAAGAAAGTGTTAAATTGGGATTATTAACAGGACGTTTCCAAGTGGCCTGTAGCGCCATCTGCTGTTTAACTACCTGTACTACCTCAGCACTTGTTAACAGCAGGATTTAAATCTATATAGCTGAATGGTAGAAATGATTTAATTGGGTTTTTTTTTATTTAAATATGGAGGTGGTTGTTGCAATTCAATTTCAATTCAACTTTAATACAGACTTGCAGTAAAATCACAAAAAAATAAAAAGACAAATAGCTATATAACAAGAAATCACAAAAACATTTATATAAAGAGAAGACAACTATATCAGTGCCTCCACTACAAGGACTGAAAACTGCAAAGAATGCTGTTAAAAAAAAGACACCTACAGCTAAAACTGGCACATTACCAGATTGCAATGAATTGTTCCTCTGTATGAGGTGCGCCTTTGTTTATAATTTCTTTAAAATCCTTTAATAAGTTTATAAATAAAGCACAGTCTGCAGCCTCTGGTGTTTGTTCTGCTCTCACCTTCTTCATTCACTCTGCTTTCTTGTTTGATCAGCAGATCAAGACATCAAGCAAGACATGGCTCACCTTACCTGTATTTTTGTCTTCAGTGTAATACTTATGGACAGCTGTCAATAATCACTGTTGCCACTCTCAGGTTTAAGGCGCTACTCTTTGTCTGGTCAAATAATGCTAAAGAATCCTTTAAAAACAAATCCTGCATCCATATTATGATGTGGATCATCACCAAATTTTAACTGATTGTTCCTTGGACTGAGGTGAAACAATGTTGTTTAAATCCATTCATAACTTTTCAAGTTTTCCCGTTCACAGACGGACAAACAACCACATACAAACTCCACTAAAAACAACTCCTTGAGGGAGAAAATAACATTTTAGAGTAATGATCAAACTAAACACAGTAGAATCTGAAATACACAATAATTGAAACAGCTGATTGTACATTGTGTTTTTCTTTTATCACTGTTATTTGTTTGTTGTTTTATCTATAATTCTACCTCCTAACTTCAAACATTAGAAGTTTTTGGTTTGTTTGTTTTTTGTTTTTTTTTATTCAGGTCTTGTTATCTATATAGATGTGAAATGTATCCTTCTTAAGGTATCTTATTACTGGATAAATTCTTATTTGACATTAGTGGTGTCTCGATGGGACATTTCTAACAGTTATTTGCTTATTCTTTTTAAAAAAAACAATTGTATCTTTAAATATCCATCTTCAATATTTCAGGGTTTATTGTAAATGGCATCAGACGTTCTAATATAAATCGATCTTCATTGGTCATTAAGTTGTAGCAGGAGATAGCAGACTACAGTTCAATAGAAGAGGAAATCCAGAAATGGTCACAAACGGTTGAACAGCGCCATCTGCTGGTTAATAATAATGTATGATCGATCAGAACCATCTCAGAATATCTTCAACTCCCAGAACAAAGCTATTATTTTATATATTTATATATTATCTTTGTTATTTCGAAATCTTATCATTTTCATATTCCTGATTTTCGGATCCAGAGACGTTAAAGTAAAAGTAGAGAAATATCATTGAGGGGTTGACGGGGTATTAAACACATTTCATATACAATACAGTAATAAAGCTTTTTTATAACATTTACATACACTAGAATAATGGGCATATTAAAACATCCCAGTAGTGAATGAACAGAGTGTAAAGGACACTGGTAGGATTATTTTTATTGATGATGTGTGAGTCTGTTAAACCCTAATATTACCTGCCTATTATGAGTCAAAACTAATGTTTTTCCAAGGAGTTTATCTAATTAGGACAATCATAAATATAAAGTGGTTACCAGTAAATAGAGGCTGAGAAGATATAAAGTTACTGGGTGATTGCTCAAAAAGCAAAGTGGCAGAACTCAAAATTTTAATGCAACAAACTCCTGCATCTTCTTGAGTTCAGGACTTCAGATTAACCATTCAAGTTTTCCTTTTGACTTTGCCAAACTTTGAATTATATATTATTGTAACTTGGATTCCTCTTTTTTTTTTTTTTATTTACTGTTAAAGTAGCTGTAACTTGAAAATTCCTCCATCCGTCTTCTCGCACTTAATCCTTACATGTCTCCAGCAGTCTATGGGCAACATTTGGAGTACACCCAGGACAGGTCGCCGGTCTGCCACAGGGCAACACAGAGACATACAACCCTGTACATACACACACATAAACACACATACACACCTAAGGACAATTTAGAGATGCCTATCAACCTGTGAGTCATGTTTTTGTGCTGTGGGAGGAAGTCAGAGTACCCAGAAAGAACCCACATATGGTGTTATAGTCATTGTAAATAAAGTATGACGTTGTTGTCATTTGGCAGCATCCCTTTTGCAACTATTTCTAGTTTTAAAATTACACATTAAAAGAACACTAAGCTTCTAGCTCTAAAATCCATTTCAAAAAATTGTTTTTGTCACATTTCAATAAAAAAGAACATGAAAGTGAGCAGAAAATGTATCCATTAAAATAACCGACAACTTAAAGCTATAAGTATTGATAAACTCAATAATATTAAAGAAGATGATTACTTAGTTTTTTCCGAACTTATTTAGATTATTGTCCCTAAATTTAACATTAAGTCTTTCAGTCCAATTAAATTAGTCCTCCATGAGTTCTTCCTAACATGTTCTTTAGAGTGATGCTTATGAGAGGAAACTGTTGCAGAGTCTGTTGGTTTTGGAATGCAGAGCTCTGTAGCAGCTACCGAGGGTGGGGCTTGGAACAGGTCATGATGGGGTGTGAGGTGGGTCTGCAGTGCTATTTTTCTGCCTGTTTCCTAAATGTTTTCTAAAGGATAGGTTGACCCTGATGATTTATTTCTTATATTCTGACTGATGTAGTCTCTTCTTTTCCTTTTGGTGTCAGACCCAAACCTGACAGGGAGAAAAATGGCAGGTGGAGATTAGGGTTGTCACAATACTAAACTTTTCAACTCGATACCGATACTAAGTAAAATATTCGATACTCGATATCATTTGATACCACAAGAATAAAAACAAAACTAAAATTCAACAGAAATATTTTCATTACTAAAAAATACAAGAAATAAATAAAAAAAACAATAACAATAATATTTAGAGGTTGTATGCTGTGCACAATATTAAGCAAGCTTGATAAAAAAACTTACAAAATTAAAATTAAGTGTTCCTTCCTTGGCTATGTTTTGCAGACATAACAATGATACTAGCTAAACCAGTTAAACAAAAATAATTCTCAGCAGCTGCACCTGTTACAAAAAAAGTCTAAAACTGAAAAATGCACAGAATTATTTAATCACACAGTGTTCTGAAAGTGCATTTTCCACTATTCTGCACTTTAGATGGCTGTATCGATACTTTTGAAAGTGAGTATTGTATCCGGATACATCGTTTCAGTATCAATACTTTTTTGAGTATCGATACTTTTGACAACCCTAGTGGAGATGAGGGCCAGTTGGTCTGATCAGATTTTAAAGCCAGGGGCCGTCCTGATCCTCTGCCTCTGAAAGAGTTGGCCAGGTATTAATTCAAAATTTAGGAAATTATTTGAATCCAATTCTCAATATGTGGAGCTGATTCTTTTTATTCAATTCTAAGCGGATCCAATCTCAAATTTACTTGCTCTTTTAAAAACTTTTTTTTAACCTGCATTACACGACTGTTTAGTAATGCAATATATTTATATTAGAATTACAGCAGCAAAAGTAAGTAATGCATTTTTGAATAAAAGATTTTTCGATTAAACAAATGCATTTTTAGGAATTAATATAAGAAAAAATTTAGAATTGGGAAATTTAACCCCACCCTATTCAAGATACTCAACCCATTGAAACAGTTTTACATATTATTTAGTTTTCTGTCTCTTTTAACTTATTTTTTTTATTGTCAAATTGTCTTACGATTTTGCAAAATAAGATTTGTTTGTATAGTCATTGGGATTTTTGGCTGGTCATATGAAAGTATATGTCTTAAATCTTGAATATGCATACTGATTGTTTTTTGCATTGTTTTATTTCCTCAAAATTCCATTAAAAAAATTTATTAAAAAATGCTGTTGGAATGAATATGACCTGGATAACTGAGAACCTTCCACAGCATATTTCCTCCAAAGTTTTTATATCAATGCAATATGCCTTTGCACTGTTGTATGTAAAACCAAACACATTTCTTTTACTTTTATTTGCTGTTGGTGATTTTATGTTCAGTTTGCCTTATAGTTCCTGGATAACAACAGTAAAACATCAGCCATAATACATTTTTGTATTATTTGTTATTGACGGAGTGTTTGCACCACTGTACTGTTTTTTTGTTTTTTTGTTTTTTGTTTTTTTAGCCTTATTACCATTACACTATCACAACAACAGAGCAATAAAATTCACTCTCTGCACTTAACCCATCCCCCTGGGGAGCAGTGGGTTGCCATGGTGCAGCGTCCGGGGAGCAGTATGGGGTTAAGGGTCTTGCTCAGGGACCCAGAGTGGCAGTCTGTGGGAGTGGGGCTGGAAATCAGAACCTCAGGATACCAAGCCCTAAAATCCTTACAAAATCCTTGTCCATCCTAGTGATGTGTGGTTGGATTACAATTAAACATGACTCATCCACATGTCAGTAAACACACCTGCCTTTTATAGTTATTAGTGAATGCACAGTGAAATTATGCTTAGAGTCTCACCTGCTTATATGGTTTGATTTAATATTGGAAAAATAGAGAAAAATTAAGAAAAAATTATTTTACAAGACAGTGTTTTAAGGTCATTCATTGCAATATGCATGTGTGTTTGTCCTGTGATAGACCACCTCCAAACAGCTGAAAGCGCTTCTTGTTATGAGGATGTCGTACAGCAGGTGGCGGTATTGTAGCGCAACAGCTTTAAATCCCGAATTAAAACCAGTAAGAGAAGAAGAAATCAGTCCCCGGTGCAGCAAAGTGTCCTTATCGGCTTGTTTTCCTTGGGATTTTTCTGCCAATAAACATTATTTTTTACATTGAAGTGAGGGTTTTAATAAAGAGTTTGGTGCTCCGTGTGAAAGTGACTTCAGTTTATCTGAGGTGAGTGCCAGTTATTCCTGTTAGCTATGAAAGCTAGCTATTGTGCTAGGAGCTAACCTGCTAACAGTCAAAGATAGAAACTAAAAGAAATCTGATTATTTAGTCTAAAAAAAAAAAAAAAGCTCTGTTCTGTGTCTCTATTAATTCCATTTCTTTCCATTAGTCGTGAGAATTAGCATTCTCACAGGTAAGTTATATCTGCTGTAGCTGCTTTGGTTTCATTTATTATCAAAGATCCTGAAATAAAACGCTTCCTGTTCTGTTTGCTGCATCTGAATCAGTCTGATCTGATAAACCCTGATCTATTTGAAAATCTGTTTGCTGGATAATTACCTGTAAAATATTATATTATCCCCCCTTCCACATCCATGCGCTGATATAGTAATGCTTTAAGTAAATGTTACTGATCTGAACGTAGTTGCGATTTTAATTTTAATTGGAAAAACGTCAAGTTTTTGATTCAAAATGTTATTGATTTTTCACATATCGATGATGGTGTTTTCTAATTGAATACTAGAGAGGCTAAACTAATGTCAATTTCATTCAATTCTTGGTCAAATATACATCCTCAAATTTCATAATCATTAAACTGCATTAAATATACGCTTAAAATAGGACTGAAACAATTAATCGGATTACTTGATTATTGAAATAATCTGCAACTAATTTAGTAATCGATTAATAGTTAACTGGAGTATAGAGACTTAAACATGCCTTTAGCTGACAGAGCAACCCACTTAGAGCAGTAATTGTGAACAAATATATATTTTTCATCCAAGATTTAAAATATGTTTTCATCTGTCTTTATGCTCTATCCAGATTTCCTCAAGTGGAAAAAGTTCTAGTTTCACCTGGCTTAAATAAATCTAAAAATAAAAAAACCTTAAAGAACCTTTGGCTTTCAGATTATTAATAGATCAATCAAGAAAATAATCAACAGATTGATCGATTTGTAAAATAATGGTTAGTTGCAGTCCGAGCTGAAATGCACCCGATTTCATGAGTATGTTGCACATTAATCTGCTGTTGATCTTGTCTCGGACATGATCTCCCCTCTGCTCTGGAGCAGCAGGACGCTGCCGGTCAGTCTCTGCTGAAAAACGTATGATAGAACAAGTTAAAGCCTAAACGTGAATTATCCATTTAGAATGAAGTAAGAAGCTTTACCAAAATAGTATGAAAATTGTTGGACGGTTAAATATAAACAATAAAGCAAGTTTAGAATTAAATTTGTAAGGTGACACAGGGATGGAGTGGACATCATGCTCTCCAGGACTCTGCACTGGAAAAACTATCTACCCTCAATTTGAGTAGGTAAATGAGACAGTTTGCCATTGGAATTTGTGTTTTTACTCTTAAAATAAGATAATTAGATAATATGCACTTAAAATAAGACAATGCAATTGTGTTGTCTTATTTTAAGTGTAAATTGTCTTGTTCCATTGGCAAAATGTCTCTTTTACCTCCTTAATCCAAAAACAAATGCACTTATTTTAAGAAAAAATGACTCTTGAAATAATCTGTCTGAATGCTGACAAACCCTCAGAGAGATTGTTGCTTATGCACCACACCGTTATGTGTATTTTTATTCATCTACAACAGATTGAAATTCTTTTTTTTATGTTATAACATGTACAGAAATAAGTTTTTCTATTTAGGGTATTGATATGATAGTTTAAATTAATGCAACATTTCATTTTATTTTCGTGGATTCTATTTTTGTAAAAATATAAATGATTAGTTTGTATTTTTGATCCTCGGATTAACTTGATCTCTGAAAGTGCTGTTGTTTAACAAACATTGGTTTAAAACGTTCTTTGACTATTTATGGTTACAGTAGCTCTTTGTGTTAATAAATGCTCCGTAGGTTTAACTCCACTCAAAGGTTTGGTTCCAGCATCAGATGATGGCTTCCACCTGACTGTAATGCTTTTCTTATGGTAGTAACATATTGTTCTTTCTGTGGTTGGAAAGAAAAACTGGACTCTGTTTGGGATGCACTGATGTGGATATGAAAAGAACCAACCCGGAATGCAGCTTTTCCCACTTTGCAATGGTCCGCTTCCTTCTCCCAGTGAATAAAAACCTTCAGGCCATCTCCATCCAGGAGGACTTCCTGTCTTATTCTTTTGGAAACATACCCAACAGTCTTTGTGGGGGACTGGTCAGTCCAGCAGACCGCCCTCTTCCTTCTCAGCCAGATCTCAGGGATGAGTCGTCTTCTCTGTCCTGGTGAGAAATGAATGAACATCCCTGGAAAGAAGGGGTCAATCAGTGCCTGCAGTGTGGAGCTCTGTTACTGGAGGTAAGAGTCAGTTTGGGAGGTCAGGCTGAAGGAAAGCAGTAAATAAACATCAGATGAGCAGCTGATTGTGTAAAATGTTGGAATCCACTCTAATTTTTCAGGTCTTTTATGTTATTTTGAATCAAAAAGAAAGCTATGTGATATGGAGCTCTAATCTGATACTGATGACCTCTCATGATTCATCCTATACTGGTGAAACTATGCATCCCCTCGCCTTCCTCTTTCTCGTCCCACAGTGGATCAGTAATGTTGTATCAGGTGAGGCACAGTGGGAGTCGGGATGATGGCGAGGAGCTACTGGAGGGATTGGAGGGAATTTATAATGGCCTGGATTATTTAAACACGGCCATGAGGAGTTCAGAGCTTATCTTCTCCCCTTTAGCTTCAGGCTGACTTTCTGCTTTCAGGCTTCAGCTTGTCCTTCTAACAATGTCCACCAGAGGGAGCAGCTCCTATCAGCATAAACAGAAGTGTCCTGACCCAAACTGTTCAGTCATTTAGGAACATCTTGAACATTTCTAAATGATTCCTTCCCATCTTGATGTTTTTCATGCTTGGATGATCCTTCCTCACCAAACATCTGGATAGCCGATCCACGATAGTCCATCCCAGGAGCCTCTGAGCCCAGAGAAGCTTACTCCTCCCTTAAGGAGAACATCAGGCTTCTTCTCAGTCCAGTAAAGACTAGAAATGTAACTCCGGATTGTAGAGCTGGACAAAGGGTCTCCAAAGTGATCTCTGCTCCACGAGGTTCTACTAGCTGTCTGGCTGAAGCTGCTTCATGAAGCTTCCTTAAAGTCTTCATGAACTTCTGCTCTGCAGAGGAAGAATTGTGCAGAGAGCTTCTGATCTCTGTTTGTGTTCAGATGAAATGTTTTAGTTTCACTCTGCTGGTGAATCTTAGTTTGAAATGTTTGTTCAATGAAGGTCTGCAGAGCTTGAGGTCTTCAGATGTTCTGACACCTCTTTCTTCCAGCTGGTGGTTTTGTCTTCATTCAGTCACAGTTTGATATTTTCTCACATGTGTTTGCAGGAAACGCTCCAAGCGTTTCTCCACAGCCTCCCAGCATGTCCAACAACTACCCGTACCGGCAGCCGCCGCCTGATTCTGACCTGCGACCTGAACCCCGGCGCTATGGTCCTGGAGCTGACAGAGACTTTTACCGTCAGCCTCAGGAGTCGTTTTCCTCCTCCTACCTGCCCTCCTCCTCTTCCTCCTCATTCTCCAGGAGCTCAGCAGCGCTCCCCTCGGCTCATGGCTCCCAGGAGTCCGTTTTGAGCCTCCTGAACAGCTGCGGCTTGGAGCCTGAAGATCTGTCTATGCTGGCGAAGCTTCCTGAAGACGTCCTTACAGTTGAGACTCTTCCTCAAATCCTGCAGCAGATCAAGGGGAGAAAGGGCCCGGTCCAACCGTTTCCACTAAGAAGTCCTCCTGAAGAGATTAACTCTTTCCAGCAGTCCACATCAAAGATGGGAACCATTAGACCTTCCAGAGCTCCTTCTCCCCCACCACCCTCTTCATTTATGCCCTCAAGCTCCGGCCATTGGCCCTCTGGCAACCCCGTCTCCAGAGAGCGGGAGCAGCTCAGCAGGCAGCCCATCCAGTATCCTCTTCCAATGTTCTCTACGACGACTGCGCCCCCTGATCCAGCACTGGACCACTGGACGGGTCATACGACCGCCAGCTCTTTCAGGTCCCCACCATCATCATCCTCTTTACCATTCAGACACACCACTGACCAAGACCACAGGCCACGCCCCCCTCGTTATGGTAAGGAAGGTTCTTTCAGCACGGCGGGATCAGTGGGTAGAACACGTCCTTCTCGTTTCTCTACCGGACCAGCTGATTACAGATCAGCTCCTCCTCCTCTTGACGATCGACGCCAAGACTTCAAGTCAGCACACAGCAGCCGGGCCGCCGCCCCCGACCCCATGCCCTCCAAGAAACAAGCTCTGGACTTCCACGGAACATCACCGACGGAGTTCCCGTACTCATGCTCTCTGTGTGACATCACAGTCCTGTCAGAGAAGGTAAGTTCATCCGTCGTCCTCCAATAGGTGGGTCTGCAGGTGAGTGGGTGGGGCCACTGAAGGGAAATAGGAGGTGAGGGGGAGTGGGAGCATGGCAGTGGCAACAGTCCCACTTCCTGTCTGTGTTTCAGGCTTGGATCCAGCATGTTAACACCACGGGTCATGCAGACGGACAGCTCAACTTGCTGCAGCAGTAAGTAACATATGGAGACCCACGGACGCCTGGATGTTCTGGTTCCTAAACTCTTGTCTCCTTTGCAGGTTTCCAAAGTGGGACTGTCGCCTGGACCAAGTCGCAAGGTCAGTGACCTTCACCACCTTAATCAGGATTGTTCTGTGTCAGACTTTCCCGTGCGTCTCTACAGCCTTCAGCTGATTATTAGTGTAGGGATTCTGGGCCTGGAAGCAGAACTTTGAAACCAACAGAACTAGTCAGTTCAGATAGAAGATTTATCTGTAAGACATGTTCAGTCTTTGTAATCAGTGGCAGGATCAGACTCTTTAATCAGAAATAATGTTTAGAACCAGGATCTTCGTGTCCGGTCAGCGGGAACCTTGCTCAAGTCATCAGACCAGTTGGGTCCCCATAAACTTAGACTCAACTTTATTTATCCGACTCATCAAACTGTCAACACCAAACCAAAACTTTCTCCAACACTGTTTACATTTGATCACTGATGCACTTTAAGGAATGGAAATGTCCGTCCAACAGTCCAAAAACACTACTGTTAAGTTAATTGGCTTCTCTAAATTCTCCTTAGGTGTGAGTGTGTGCGTGAATGGTTGTCTGTCCTGTTTGTCTCTGTGTTGCCCTGCGATGGACTGGACCTGTCCAGGGTGTACCCAGCCTCTCGCCTGTAGACAGCTGGAGATAGGCACCAGCACCCCTCGCGATCCCACTTGAGATAAGAGTGATGGAAAATGGATGGATGAATGAAGAGTATATATAGAACAAAAAGTATAGAAAGAAAAATAGTTATGTTCTGGAATATGTTTCCCTTAGATATAAAAATATCAGCACCTGCTCATCAGCTTAAAACCTTTTTTGTTGTTAAAGGGATGATAGCAGATCAAACCAGCAGAAAGATGCACCGAGGCGTAGCCCACCCACTCCCAAACCCAGTCAGAACCGAGGTATGGTCTCCATAGTGTGACTATATAGTTCTGGTCCATAATGAGGGTCTAAATGTTTGCTTTTGTTCAGCAGATCCCCAGAAGCAGCAGAAGGTAAGAACTGAATTATGTTTTCTAGATCAGTGTGGGTTAATAGACTGGAATATGGTTTGGTTACAGAAATGAATGGAAGTCAATGGAAGTTCTTGTAAAGATAGTTAAACACTGAGACGTGTTTGTGTGAATTCAGGCGTCGGATAAAGGGAAGGTGGTGTGTGCCAAGTTTGCCCCTCAGGCTGTAGATGAGGCTCATCTGAGGAAACTAATCGAGCCGTTTGGAAAAGTTGAGAAGATCCTCATGTTTCCGTCTTTGGTGAGTCGTCCTGCTTCATGTCCCACCCACTCCACTCTGCCACAGTGGGTGGGTGTGTAACATGGAAGTGTAAAGTAACAAAGTACAAATACTTTGTTAACTTCATTAACTACAACTTTTGGCTATATACTTTACTGGAGTTATTATTTTTAGATAACTTTTTAATTTTACTGCTCACATTTTTTTGCAATCATCTCTTAAATTTTAACAAATGGCTTGTTTCTTTAAGATAATGTTTGTGATGTCCTGTTGGTATATAAAAAAAAAATATATTATTATTTTTAGTTTCATCCAGACAATTTCTTTGTGGTTGGATTCAGTGCTGCACCAACTTGTTTTTTCCACAAATAGCAAAATAAATTGTTTTTCAAGATGATGCAAAGTGAAATTTGACACTGCTGCTATTAATTATGAAACTAAGAAACTGAAGTATAAGGAAGTTATAATCCACAATTGTAGAAAAAAACTTAATTCATTAAAGCATCTCCCCTTACTTCTACTTTTATACGTTAAGTAGTTTAAGAAACTGTCCTTTTACACTTTTACTTGAGTAAAAAGCCAAACTTGATACTCGAACTTCTATATGTGTTTTTAACGAGTAGGATTTATACTTCTACTTTAGTAATAAACCTTAATATATATTTGACACCTCTGGTGTAACTTCCACCCTGCCCACCGCAGGCGTTTGTGGAGATGGGCTCTTGTGATCAGGCAAAGGACCTGGTGAAGCACTACGGCAGCTCTGAGAAGGCCGCTGGGAAGGAGAAGATCGAGTTCAGCATCTCCAGCACATTTAGCTTCCTGCAGGTAGGACACCAGAGAACAGGTCAGCTGTGGCTCCTGACCTGAAAAATGCCAGATTCTGGCTCTGAGCAGCTGACATGGGTTACCTTGACCTGAATCCCATTTCGCTGTGTGACCCGTCTCTGTGTCTGTTCCCTCAGAGCTCCCAGGTGGTGAGCTTCACTCCGGCGCCGACCGGCAAGGACGGACGCTCTGATCTTATCTGCATCGCCAAACGCTTCGGAGAGCCGCTCTACACACTGTTTCTGCCATCCAAGGTGAGCGTACCGGCTCAAATCGTATATTTTAGGCTACTGGTTGCTTTCCCTCCTGGTAGGCTTTGGATGCATTCTTAAGGCCATTTATTTTCCTTTGTCCATTTCCATTTAGAACAAAATAAAGCAACATAACCTCTATCTAAGCACAGTAGAGACCAGTTTGCTTCTTCTCATTTAGCAACACCTGAACAGAATGACACTTGACCTTAAATAACCCCGTCCGCTCCTACAGTGAGCCTGAAACGAAAGGTTTGTTCCCAGAACCTGAGATCATTTGTAGTGGTTCTGATCCATGGTTCTCCAGTTTTAAAGAACTTTTTTCTGTATGAATGATTCATGGCAGCTGTACAGACTTTAAAACGGATGATTCCGACCGTGTTTATGGAACAGATCCTGGTTCTGCAGTGATTCTGATGGGTCTCTGCTGTGTTCTGATCCAGGCCTTCGTGGAGATGAAAGTTTCTGCTGAGGCTCAGAAGCTGGTCAACTATTATACCTCCAATACTCTTCGGATCAACGATGACATCATCCATGTAGCCTTCTCATTAGAGTACAGGACTCTTATGTGAGTTGGGAGCTGGTCAAGATCCCGTTCAGATGCATTTATGTCTTATTCGTGTTATTAACGCTCTTCTGTGATGGTCTACAGGCGGGTTCCATCAGCCCAGAAGTATGAGGAGGAACCAGTCAAGTCTAAGGAGTCCAACAGGGAGCAGAGGACTAGGTCCAGAGACAGGACCAGGTCCAGAGACAGGACCAGGTCCAGAGACAGGACCAGGTCCAGAGACAGGACCAGGTCACGGTCCAGAGGACGGAGAAGGAAAAGAAGCAGTTCTAGAGATGGAAAGAGAAGAGAGACTAGAACCAGGTCCAGAGATAAATCCAGCCTGAAAAGGAGGTCCAAATCCAGAGAGCGGTCCAGCAGTGGGCCTCCTGGGAAGAGCAAGTCTGAAGAACCCAAGAACTCTGGTGAGGAACCAGAACCACACTGATTCGTTTAAACTACAAAATATCAGACTCAGTAAAGATGTACTTTAGATCATAATGGGTCAGCGGCCCACGCTACATCATGGTTACCATAGCAACCTGTAACCAGACAGGGCAAGGTCCAGGTCTCTCACATCCGGGAGGGAACAGAACGGTTTTGGTTGACGTTCAAGGAGGTTCTGCAGGTGTCTTTCCTCTATGTGAGGCTCAGTGTCTCCCTCTCTGCTCAGAGCCCAGATCTGCAGAAGAACCTCAGAAGAAAGAAGGTGTCTCCACCAACACAGAAGCTGCTAAGGAGAAGGAGAAACCGACGGCTGACGTAGAACGGTGAGTTCAGGCTTAAAACCTAAACTGTGATAGAACAGCAAACATCTGCTGACCGAAGACGTCCCTGCCTTCAGCTACACCACAGACGAGAGCGACATCGAGGGCATGGAGGTGATCGCAGAGGATGGAGAAGATGTGAGGGACGAGGACGACCTGGAGAGTCAGGATGAGGACCACCAAGAGAAACCCAAGTGTCCTGAAGCAGGTAGAGGCAAAACAAAGACGTCAGAACTTGAAGAAAATCCTTTAGATTGCATAAAAACTGATTTCTGGTGAAACTTGTTTTCAAGGTGGACCAAAGCTGGAGGTCATGGAGGCTGAAGCAGAGAAGCCGGAGCTCCAGGTGGAGGAGCCTGCTGACACAGAGGAGGATATGGTAAGGAACCTGGATCAGAAGGTTGCTCTCTTTGCTCCCAGCGGGCTGGTTTATGCAGATCCATAACCTGATCCAGGTCGATCTGAACACTTGTTCTGATCATGTTAATGAATTCGGTCAAACAGATCTCACCAAGCAGAGGACGGGAAGCAGAACAAAACTGGAAAGGACATTAGTTTCTTTCTCTCATCCTGTAGATGTAGCAGCAGGTCCATTGTGGACGCTCAGAACCAACTCGGTCCAAGATTGAGGCTTTGATGTTTTTTGGTCTTTGGACCCATTATCTGAAACTCACTGTCTTCCTGAACAGGAAGCAGAATTCCCGGTGGACCTGGAGAACTGCATCACTCTGGATGAGTTGAAGAGCGACGATGAAGGTAAACAGGATCAAGCCCAGTTGAGTTTGAGTTAAACCAGTAAACCCATGGTGGTTCTGTTTGGTTTTGAATTTTCTCTTGCTCTTTCCCAGATATTCTTCCTGGTGGAGACCCTAAGGTTCGTCTCCACGACTCCTCCAGAACCTTTGAAGCGTATGTATCCTCCCAGATTTAATAACAGGACCTTTCTGTCTGCAGGAGGCCTTGGAGTCCAGCAGGGTTCTGTTCTTTAGCGCCATGCCTCTGCAGTACACAGACATGGAGTTCATCACCCTAATGAGAGGCTTTGGGACGGTGGTCTGCTACCTTCTGATCCAGAACAGACAACAGGTCAGAACAGATGTGCTACGGTTTGTGTTTGCCCTGCTGTTTCTCGTTCTTTTAGTTGACCCAGTTTTTTTCACCTCTGAAGATCAGAGTCAGAACCATGTGGTTTAAGGTCTGATCCTGCTATTGTTTTATATTGAAGGATCTTATTTATGGAGATGATTGACCCTCATCATTCTGAGATATGTCAAAAACTTGGGAAGAGTTTTAAATATGAAGCCCTTTATGTTCTGATTGGCTGCAGTCCCTCCTGGACCCGCCTCTCACTCGGGCCCAGATCTACACTCTGAGTTGCGCCAGTTTCTCTCATCAATTTGTCACCTATTTGTGTTTTTTAGGGTTTCATCGAGATGTCGACCTCTTCTGAAGCTCTCAAAGCCGCTGAAGAGCTGCAGTCCAAACCTGCCTACCTCAACGGAACCAGACTGATCGGCACCTTGTCTGAGAAGTTCTCTACTCTCACCAACGGGTCAGAAACCGTCTCCTTAAGGGTCCCCAGGTCCTCAATCTGCTGTTACTGAGCCTTCATCCTTTTACAGGTGGCCCGTTCCCGAGGAGGAGAGCGAAGAAAGGAGGTGCGCCAGTGAACACAGCAAAGATAACTCGGAAACGGATGAGAAGACAAGGTCCAAAATAACCCCACTGGAGAAAACCTCTGAAATAGATCAGGAGATAGAGAGGTCTGGTAATGTTCCACAGATGGAAACTCCTGAGATAATCACAAAAACCAAAAAGAAAACAGAAACACCAGATCAGATGACTTCAGATGGAAAGACTCAAGAGCAGGAACCACCCAGAAGTATTGCTGAACCAGAGATGGAGACATCAGAGAAGTCAAAATCCCCAAAAGCTACAGAAACATCTGAAAAATCTCCAGAGAAAATATTACCTGCTACGTCCTCTGTGAGAAAAACAAGATCCACAAATAGTCTGCAGAAGGAAACGGTTGAAATAAATCCAGAGGCTTCTGAGGAATCACCAGAAAAACAGGCTTCTGAAAACAGTTCTGAGGAGGATTCCACACAAGGACAGAACAGAACCAGGAGCTCCACCTACAGAGACATTCCAGACACTAATGCGGAGAAAAGAAAAGGGCCCCTTGACGACAACGTAGTGCCTCCAAAAATTCGCAGGACTGAGGAAGCTGCAGAAGAGACTGAGAGGACAACTGAACCAAAGGCCACAGAGGAGAGAACTCTAGAAACAAAGACAGAAGAGAATAAAACCAACTATCCAGAAGATCCACAGTCCTCTGAACAGGTAGGATCCTGGGTACCAGCAGTGAACTATGGGCTCCTGGTTTAGGCTCACTTTACCAAGATTTTTCTTCTAGTTCTAGGCAGTTAGGAGATTTTGTCTAAACACCTTAGGGAGATTTATTACAGCCGCCCAACAGCTTAATGAGTTACACCATTCATTGTTCAAAGAAGCCAACTGAAAATTTTAAGCAAATTAAAGCGATAAAAAATTTTGAAAAGACCCACCCTCTCCACTTAAAAAAAAAAAAAAACATGCACAAACATGCACATGCCCATTTCTCCTCGTGCACGCTCTGTTTAAAAGTTACTATTTCCATTTCTCACACAAGCTTACTTTCCAAAAGATTTGCAATTTTTCCACAATGTCAGACTCACCGCTGGTAAGTGAAAATGGGGACAAGCACATCGGACTTCCTTACTTAAACATCACAACAATGATTGACAATTAGGACGGCTTATTTTGATGATCCGCTTGGAAAAAGTTTGGTGGTGCAGTTGTTGCTTCGACCAGTCAATTCAAAGGGTTCTGCTGAACATCCCTCCTTTCCCTGAACAGATTTAATGGCAGTAGTTCCAGAGTGATGTGTGGAAATAGACCTCGTGCTACACAATCTCAGTCTGGTTTGCCCTCTTCATAATGGAAATGATTCCTGTTCAAAGTAAATTAGACGTTTGCAGTTTGTGCTTTCATAGCAATTATGGTCATACCTCTGAATTAGGAAATCGGCTCCTTGATCAAATTTAAGTTTTCGAGGGAATCAAGTAATCTTTCAATTAGCTTTTCCTAAATAATAAAATAAAATAGTTGCACTGAAGAGTATTTGGAACTTGAACACAAGAATGGAGAGACAGATTAATGAAGCCCTCTAGCAGTGAAGTCTGCTGTCCTTCCACAATTACGCACTTCTTTGTGTAGCTTTTTATGGATGTGATTTATTGTCCACCTGACAAATCATTGTGCCCCACAAGTTAGGAATTAATATGCCAATCCACCGCATTTTTTGTGAGTGAGAATCCCTTTGTGCTCCTCAGTGCACAGGCCAAAGTACATTTCATGACCTGAACAGGAATGTTTACACTTTACACCAGACTGACGGACGTTTTCCAGGCGTCTTATGGTGATGAAAGTTCAAACTCAAACAAGATATGGACCTGATGCTCATTTTAAATTCAACAGCCTGTTCATTCATTTCATTTTATACTTTTTAGCTTGTGAATTGAAAGTTGGCATGGCTCACTGCAAAAATGATCTAGAAATAAGTAAAAATGTCTTAAATTAAGTGTATTCACCCTTGATTTGAATAGGTAAATCTGATAATTTGCCAATGGAATTAGTATTTTTACCCTTAAAATAAGATAATTAGATAATATGCACTTAGAATAAGACAATGCAATTGTGTTTTCATATTTTAAATCTAAATTGTCTTGTTCCATTGGCAAAATATCTCTTTAATCTCCTCAATTTAAGAAGAAATGCACTTATTTTAAGAAAAAATGACTTATCTAGATTTTGATTTTCTCCAGTGCGCTACTAATTATCACAGGTCACAACTTTGTGGGGATTGCCACACTTTAATCTAGCAAACTTTTAGCACTTTAGACATGAGTCCTGAAACCAGACCTGTTGAATCTGTCCAGAGCTCACAGATTCTGTTTTAAGTCTTCTAAAGGAGAAACCATCTTTAACCAATCCGGTTAAACAGAGGCCAGAATGGCCTCTAACCAGTTGCGGGATGACAGTAGGGGTTATTAAACCAGGAGGTGACAATTTGAGATTGTAGCTGACCATGGAAAGCATGTTCTGTTTAATATATGCCAGAACATGAGAACTCATGGGGCTGTTTGTTTTCAGGAGTCTGGGTTGAAAGAAGATGCAGCACCAGCAGAGAAACCTGCTAAACCTGTTGGTAAGAATTACAGAAAAAAAAAAAAAAAACCCAAGCACATGTTCTTTGAATTTTAATCGGTTACCACAGCTGAACAATTTTCTATATGAAGTCTAAATGATTTAAGCCTCTCATCAGAGGCCAGCTCAGCCATGGTATGTTCACTGACCCTCTGGTATTTTCTCCTTCAGGAGCAGAGTTTGTCCGACCAGTTGTTGGTTATTTCTGTAATCTGTGTCAGATGATCTTCGGTGATGAAGATGAAGCCAAACTCCAGCACTGCAGCACACCGGCCCATTACAAGAAGTACCAGGTCACTATGGAAACCAGTAGTCCAGCTAGATGTTGGTGGTTTGGTTGGCAACTTTTTAACTTGCTGTTTTTGTTTCAGGAGAAAACGGGTAAAGATCCATGGATGAGCTGAGTGGAGTCAACAGTTATGGATCAGAAACAAGGGGGATTTTTTTGTGTGTGTGTGTTTGTCAGCTGAAAATATTTATTCAGCAGAACCAGTTTGTTTTAACTACAAGTTTCAAATAAACCAACTTTGAATCTGAGTAAGTTTCAGAATATTTTGTAAAAAAGTCCAACACTAAAATGTTCTGAACACAAGATCTGCATCCTTACACACTGTACCAGCTGGGAACACTGGAACGGTTCTGATTGGTCAGTGGTGTCACCATAAACTAAACTACACAAAGTATAAAAATGAAACCATAAAACTGTGCTTCAGGAGTCTTCATGCCATTGTCGTCTTCATCTTCTGTGCTTTGGCTTGTTGCTTCTCCAGATGTTTCTGGTTCAAACACAAACATTGGATCAGTAATGTCAGGTCACATGTTTACAGTACAGAAACCTTCCTAAAATGATGTGCAGGATTTTAAGCTTTATAATTTATTCCCACAAACTGCTAAAAGAGAAGTGGCTTTTCCCCATTTAAAACTTTAAACCTGAATTTGAATTATTTTTCTGGATCGGAGAGATTTCTAAATAAACTCTTAATAAGTCAGTGGGATTATAACTTGTTTGTTCAAATTTTTTCAACAACTGTTCAAGCCCAACTCTGCCTCAAAGCTAAATAATAAGAAAACTAAAAATGTTTGAGTAGATAGCATGGACAGTAAATCTGTCAGCCAGGTGTTAAAGATTTAAGCAACTTATATGGCCTTAAAGAGCTGAAATTGGCATTGTAGGGGTATATATTCTTTTTCCAACTGAACAAAATGGTGCACAAGTTCAAATGTTTGGGTAATCTCCCCCAAAAAGAAAGGGGTGTGAATAAGCCCCAATTTTTTTCCCTTCTAAAAATAAACCCGAAGTTTAAGACTATTTCAGAATGATTTAAGTAAAATGCTCTTAATAAACAGAAGGTTACTGGCACAACTAGAATATAAAAATAAAAAGGGTAGTTGGGTTCACAATTTCAAGAAACAAATACTGATATTCGGCACTCTGAGGTTTTTGCAAGTTATAAAATATATTTAGAAATTACAGGTGTTATATTTTCCAAAAGTGGGCATTTTTCAGATACAGTCTGTTTATTATAAAGCCAATATTATTTTTGCAATTAAAGATCAGGAAACAAATTTAATACAGTGAAGTATTTGTTTGAAATGGTTCCATTTCCCTTATTGGATTTTTGAAATAAATGTATTACATATAACCGTTTAGCATTCTAGGGCTCCTGGCAACCCAAGTTACCACAACATTCATTTTTGCCTCAGTTAAGTCGTAGGGAAGCGGCGTTCCAACGGTTGCAGTTCTGAATTCTCCCAAGTGGTGTCCGACTTTAAACGAGAGAATAGAGTGAATGTGATTGGTCGTTTATCAAGAGGGCGGGATTGTTGTGGTGGAAGGTTCGCAAGCAGGTTGGATTGTGGCCGGTGTCTCGGAAGCATCTTGCTAACCAGTTAGCAACTTTTTGCTAGTAGGTTCCCAAAGGAAAATTACATTGGCACCAAGTAGCACTAAATTGGTTACTTAGAAACGACTCTGTCAAGGAACGCTATGGACAGAGAAAACATTCAAGAGGAGGAGAGTTTTGTCGTTGGATAAGTCTCCTCTGTCATACGTTTTTTATTTAGAGGAGGAAAGTGGGGACGAAGATGTTTCGAAGAAGACGCAAGGGCGACAGAAGCTCCGTTTGGTGTAGAAGGCTTACAGCTGTACATGTTTAAGCCCTTGCCTCGCAGCGCTGCCAGTTCTGTTAGCTCTACGCCTGCTGAAGACACAGACGTCCATACCCGTGAACAATGGGACGTAAAATGAATAGTAGAGTAACTTGTTCTTACTTCGTATTTTAATGGTAGCATATATTAGCTGCGACATATGAATCAAGATGCTATGACCGAAAAATTTGATTGACAGATGACCGTTGACAATATCATCTGATAAAGAGTACGTTTATATATATGTTTAAGCCAGAATCATTTGACATTTAAATATGATTCCCTACGACTTTAAACTCTTTTATTCTTGGTTGTCATTTTTAACCATGATAACCTGGCTCATTTAAATACACAATCACATTCAAACCGGTGCTTTGCATGGCCATTTATAGTTGGATGTGTGCCAAGGTGAGGTGGATGAAGCTGTTACTATGAAACCTGCATGCAGGTCTGAAATCTTTCTGGCATAAACTATTTTGTATGGATCTCCTTTGATCAATGAGACCCCAGCTCTCTATGAGGAAACCTGTTTAAGGAAGCTGGTCTCACCTGCAGCTTGTCATAGTGCGCCTGGCTGCTACAGTGGACCTTCTTGGCCTTGTCCTCGTTGGAGTAGAACAGGAAGCAGATGCGACAGTAGTAACCCATCTTCACATGCTCCACCCCTAAACAACCAATCAGAGGTCAGCGTTTGTTCGGCAACCATGGCAGCAGCTGGGCCAGGTTTCCTTACCTATTGGGGTGTCAGGGTCATATGGTGGGAGGGTTGCCACGCTGGACCCAGCCACACTGGGCGCTTCGTCGGCAGGGGGAAGAGCCTCTGTCTGCCCATTCTGATTGGTCGATGTGTCCATCTCCTCATCCTTCTCCTGAAAAACAAGAGATCAACCTCAGGCTCAGACTGCAGTCCTTTAAAGCAGAGAACAGCTTAAATCAGGACATAAATAATCTAGTTGGATACAACAGAGTTTCAGAAACGCGGGTCCAGTTTAAAACCCTCATCTAAGAATGTAGAAATACCAAAAAGAAGAAGGGAAGTACTTTACATCAAACTTCTGAATGGGTTCTGGAGATCGACAGATAAATATGTAGTAATGTTTTATTCTTTAGAATTTTATCTTCTAAAAGCAGAGCAAAGGAAAAGGTCTGGAGACGTTAAGGTTGTTTGTACCCAGATCCATTCAGAAGACTGTTCCCAGATCAGTTATTCTTAATGTCAGACTCACCTCTTTACTGAGGCTCATCTCCTCAGAATCTTCTGGAAGCTTCTCAGCTGGTTGCTTCTTCATCTTCTCATCTTCAGTGATGTCACAGCTGTCTTTTGCTGTTGCCTCGTCTTCCTTTTGTTCCACCTCCCCCTCATCTTCCTCCTCCTCGGCTTTCACCTCATCTTCTTCAGACTCTGCCTCCGGTTTCTGTTTCTTTGCAGGCGGTTCTTCAGCTGTCTTGCTGGGTCTCTCTGGAGATCTGCTTGCCTCCCTCTTAATGGTGATGGGATATCGATGGCTGGAAAAAGAGGCAAGCATGACCAAAGGTCACTGATATGATGACCCATTTTTAGTCACCCAGCTCTGCGACTCACCCATGTTTGAGTTGTTTGTACTTCCGGCTCACATAGATGGTCAGACGTTTCCCTTGAAACTTCAGCTGCTTCCCCTTACAGGCTTCAGCCATCTTCTCTGCAGATTCAGCCTTTTCCATCTCAATGAAACACTGCAGATACAGAAACCAGGTTGGTTAAGAGTTGCTGGAGTTCCAGATCAACCAACCTGAGCCCAGCACCCATACCTCTCTCCTGAGCCGATGCAAGAAGTACTTCTGGATTTTCCCATATGGCTCTGCCAGCTTCAGGATGTCCTGGTCTGAGTAGTTAACGTTGGGAATCTGACCGATATAGATGACCCGGCTGGAGCCACACTGAACACACAAGCAGAGGAACACCACCATCAGTTCCTCAACCACACGGAGCAGCTCAATGCAAGTATATAAGTCAGACTAACCCCAGCTGGCCCACTTCATTACAAAACATTTAGAAAAGGTTGAGATTTTTATTCCAATTTTATACCACTTTTTGCCCTTTGATGTATAACCATAGCAACAAAAGCATTATTAACTGGCAGGAGCAGCTGAACGACATGTTTTAAGTTTAAAGAGTCTGAGCAAGAAGCCCAGACAATTTGAAGAGGAGACGATGCGAGTGGAGACCAGTGGACTGAGGGGAAGTTTTCAGATTAAAGCTTGTGAAGAAGAGACGGCCGTTTTATCTATGCTAGAATATCCTCACTACATATTGAACTGGTAGCTAAATGGAAGAGATTCTCCCTGTTTTTCTTCTAAACATCCACTGTTTCATAAGAAAATCAAATGTGTTTTCTGCAAATTAAAAGCTCTTCTCCACTACCAACAACTTGGTAGTGAAGACTATACTCTAGACCAAAGGTCTTCAACATGAGTGTCCCACAAATAGCCCCTTAGGCCAGACTTGAAAATCATAAGATTAACTGTTTTACCACAAATCAGGCACCTGCAATTTTGCTCATATTAAAATAAAATATTTTTGTTTACTTTACACATGAACCAAAGGTTTGCATATGTCATTCTAGATAAACATCTCGTTATACATTTTTAGACAGATACTAGCAACAAAAGCTGGTAGCGTTAAGGAACCTGAGGGATTGAACATTTAGTTCTTCTCGTGGTGCTAGAAACCACAGAAGGAATGGACGACCTACCTGGATGGTGGGGTAGCTCAGGGAATGGGTGACCCTCACTGCCCGGCCGCACACCATCGGCGTCACATTACCGTTATAAAACTTGGCCATGGCAATGGCTTCATCCTCTTTCTCAAACTGGATGTATGCCTGAGGAGAAAGAAGAGTTAGTGCAGCAGGGGTCAGAGAGGGAACTGGGTGAGTTTCCACTTGTTTCTGATACAAGATTCCAGAAGATCTAATAGATTAAGCCTCCATGGAAAAATGAAGAAGTTTAAACAGTTTTTTCCTGAATTCAGAGACTGGTTCTAATTTGGTCCCAAGTTGACAAGTTTTTGTTCTTTGCTCAATACAGAGGAACTGAGCCTGGACGTTTAGAACATAACCTGAGCATCTATAGTCAAGGTGAGTTTATAGGAACCACAATGGCTGATGGGTGCTAAAACGAATCAAGCTACCATCAGGTTTCACTGGATATGACCTGGTGCACCTACCTCAGGCCTCAGGTCCAGAACCAGGTGTTTGACCACCTTTCCAAAAGGTTTGGCGAGCGCCAGAATGTCGTTGAGAAAGTTGTAGCCCCTCCTGAAGCCAAGGATGTTGATGACCCTCATACCCTGAAGTCAAACACATGTAAGATCTTTAGTGCAGAGCTAAGGTGTTTTAAAGATGTAGGCGGCTCTTTGGGACTAAAGAGGGAGGAATGAATCCTGATGGGAAACCAAGACATACCCCTCTCCGTGTGTTGTCTGCGGAAAAGAAGATGAAGAAAGTTTAGCCCGATTTCATAAAAACCTGCAGCTAAGATCTGATTGGTTCCTGATCCTCCTCAGTATGCTGATTACCAACCGATGCCACTGGAGTCTATGGAGGCGTCGCCTTCATCGTCTTCCAGCTCATCCAGCGTCACAAAGTCCTCCATGTTCTCCAAGAAGCTCTGGTCAAACTGAAACACAGACATTTGTCAAAAAGGAGAAAACTCAAACCTCTGGGCTCTATTCAGAACAACCATCTTACCTCTTCCTCAGGCTCGTCTCCTTCTGCCGCCTCATTGCTCTCGTCTGCGTCAACGTTCTCCTTCTTTTCTGACTCATCTGTAGGACCACCAGGTCCGGTCTTATCCTCTGACTCTGCCTCCTTTGTAGCCCCGTCCTCTGCTGCGTCATCGTCACCAGAGTCCTGTTGTTCAAACAAGAACCTTCAACTGATGAAGTGAAAGTGCCTTCTTGTGGTGAGACCTGCTTTGGAGCTTCCTTCCTTATTTCATTAGAGCTGCAGGAGCCCTGATCTCCTGATGAAGGTCTTATTAACCCGATTCTTTCTCCCTTCACTTCTTTTACTAACATGTCTTTAAAAATCTAGATCAGGTCTGGATTAGAAGACGGTCTTACTTTATTTACTTTTACTAAATGGTACCTAAATCCTCATCAATACTCAGATATTGTGTCCTAGCATTTTTGTACCGTTAAGCACTCCTCCATTAGAGCCATGAAAGGTGTCATTTAAATTTTTATTTTTTGTGCAGCTTCAGTAGATTTTCTTAGAAACAAAGGAATATGTTTTAAAGCAGCATCAGCTGCTGCTGCTGCATTTCCATGGAGTTCCTTTAAATCAATCTTGTTTTTGGATTGCCTGAACTCTGATCCTTTCTTTACCGGCTGTCAAAGCTGCGTCATTCCTCACCTCCTCCTTGTTTTTCTCTTCCCGCTGGTCGTCATCCTCCTCCTTCGCAGACTCAGATCTCTCAGGCTGCTCTTCATCTTCACTGTCTTCACTCGTTAACCCCTCCCTCTGTCCCCCCTGCTTTTCTTCAGGTTCTTCTTCTTTGTCCTCCCCCTCTCCTGCAGGTTTTTCTTTGTCATCATTGTCATCCCTCTTCTTCCTCTCCTCTCTCCCCTTGGATGAAGACTTGGACGTCCTGGAGGTTTCTGACCTGCTGCTCCTACGGCTCTGAGTGTCTTTCTCCCCCTGCCTGTGGCTCACACTGGGGGAAAAAAACAAACAAAAAAAATCAGGAACCTAGCCTTTTCCCAGTCAGACAAACCAAAGGTGCCTGCAGCTGCCTTAAATAAAGTAAGCAGGGGTGGTTTCTGATTTAACTCACTTGAGGGTTTTGTATTTGGTGCAGATGTTGAGGCGGATCAGCCTTCCTTTGATGATGAGCGGGTTCATGCTGTAATACTTCACCAGCATCTCTGCATCCTCCACAGTTCCCAGTTGGACAAACGCCTGGAAGGTCATGATAAGCACGATGAAGCACTATCAGTAGTAACCCAACTGTCCTTAATATTGCCTCAGCAGACCCAGTACCAAAATATTACTGTACTGGTATCTGCGCAGTGATTCAGTGATCATGATCATAAGAAGGGAATTTTCGTATCCATGTTGAATATGAGCTTGTAAGCTCATATTCAACATGACTGTTCAACTTGATTGTGGAACATCTAAGCAAAGACACCTATTCTCTACATTTTGTCTGATACATGTATTAGGCTTTTCCTAAGCAGGATGGAACCAATCATACCACCCATGACTTCCATCATCGTAAAAGTACAAAAAACGCTTACAGCACAAATGTGCCGCAAATGTCTAGGAAATCTTGCCTAGTATGCGTATTATAATTAATTTTGGGGTTGTCTTTTTTTTTTTTCCTTTTTTTATTGTCCTGAAGTTGCTTGGAGATTTTAAGAATGTAAAGACACTATTTCTGGCTTTTTCCAGGTTAATGCACTATATCATAAGGGACTATTAAGAGGCTCAAATATCTGTTGGCGAGCAGAAAATTTGCCATTAATAGAAGCGACCTCTTTATTGCAGCGTGGTTGTTGTGCTTGTTTGGCTTCTTTTGGGCTCATTTTCTTAGAGGGCTTTCTCTCGTGAGCTCTGACAACACGTGTTTTGTTTATGTCAGTTTAAAGCAGTGTGTGCGGTTTGTGTGCTTAAGGTGAGATGGAGTGTATCTGACTACAGTGGGTTACTACTTAAGGGTTTAAAGAAAAAAAAGCTGTTTTTCAGTATTTTTTTTTTTATAATGAGCCATATGCAGGCTCAAACTTAGGTTGAATGTGATTTGCAGACATTGCTGCAATTTTCCACACATCATTTATAGAATGCAGAGCGACTGACGACACACGCTGTGATGGGAAGGTGTTTCTACACTCTCCGTTGGTGCAGTTCAAATTTAATTTCCGGCCTTTAAGTTCAGGTAATTAGCTCCAGGATTGCTTATCAAACTTTGAGGACGTCAACAGGTTATTACATAACATGTCAGTTATGAATGCTCAAATGTTATGAAGCGTTTTACATGGAAATGCTCCCATCCAACAGACCTTAGTGATATTTGGAAGTTAAACCTTCTCTGGTTCTGCTTTCAAGCTGGGTCGACATCATGCATGTGCTCAGGTTTAAAACCAAAGCTGTCTAAATTCAGGACCAACACAAGTTCAAATAATATCTCATGTGTTATATGACTTGAAATGTAAACAACCTTTAACATGTTAGATTGTTTGGTGAGTTTAGAGTAAAATAAAACTACGGTCTGTCTCTAAGACTTCTGTTTTTATTACATCTTTCACTTCCAACAACCTGCGGTTGCCACCAGGCGGTCATCAGTCAACAGCTCAGATCCTCGCTTCACCCTAATGTTTGAACAATCAGGATATTCCTCAGATGGCTAAATCCTAAGTGAGGCTGCAGAAGGTGGTTCTGTTTGGTTTTACCTGGTCAGTCAGAAAGAGGTGCTTGTCCACGGTACCAAAGCGTCTGGAGATGGTCAGGAGCTCCTTCTTCTTCTCGTCATCTTTGGGCAGGTTGGCAAAGAACACCACCTTGCTGCCTTGGCCGGTGACGTCCCTGTTGGGCTTCTCCATCGGCAGATCAGACGACCGGTGGGATTTCTTGAAAACAAGGACGATGCGTTGGGTCAATTTGTCACATTTCTCCCATCAACCCCAGCACCATGTCACAGTTACCTCAATGGCCATCAGCCTCTTGGACAGGTAGAAGGTGACTGGTTTTCCATACAGCTTGGTTGGATGCTGCTGGTAGTAGTTGACCATGCTCAGAGCTGCTTCATGAGTATCCATCTCCAGGAAGGCCTGAGGAACAACAAGAGGTAGAAAGTGACCCAGCTGCCGCAGGTTGGAGTGCTTGGTGCATCCCAACCTTCTGGGTTTTAAAGAGTTTAATAATTACCAGAACCAGCTAATCATTCCTGTGATTTAATTCAGAACCTGCCTCTCTTCCACCTTCACCCCTGGAATGAATTTATCAGTTTAAACTCCATCTCATTCACTATATGAGGGCATATACGGGCCCCCCCTACTAGTCTGTCTGTTGATCCCTGAAAGAGTTTCAGGTGTTCAGATGTCAAGAACCAGCTTGTTCCTCTGAAAGTTCAAGTATGACAAGAAAAATGGCTAGAAAGAAAAAGTTCAACCTTAGATGAAACTTCCCTGGTGAAAACCTGCAGCTGATTCATTTGTGATCCAGTAAAAATGAATAAACAATAAAACCCAAACAGGAGCCTCTGATGTCTGGAACAGGTCTGACAGACCGAACCCAGATTTTTTTCCTTTTATCAGAACAGGCAGAGGATCCTGCCTTGACAGAACCAAACAGTGACCCAGAGGAGGGCTGGTCTACCTTGTTGTTGAGAATCAGGTGCTCTCTGAGTCGCCCGAAGGTCTCGGTGAAGGCAAACAGCGTCTTGTTGCTTAGGGGCTTCCTTTCGTACTTCACCACCACCACTCTGCTCCGAGACTGAGGAAACATTCATCAGGACCAGCGTAAGCAGAAATATCTGGGCCGAAGCATGACATCAGCAGGTAATTCAACTCACCACGTTGGGTCCCATCATGTTTTCAGAGCGACCGCGGCCTCCTGCAGACAAATACATTCAATAAGAAAACCAACTTCAGAGCTGCACCCAATATGGGAGGTGCTGGACTTCATAGATGGACGGTGTCGTCTCACCCCAGCTGGAGGACATCCCTCCTATGGGTCCGGTGGACATGGGGGCTGGGCCCAGAAGACCTGCAGAAAGGTTGGGGGTCTCCCTGTGGCCCCAGCCAGTTAACAACAGTTGGATGAAAATGTTCTCCAATGTGAACCAACAGAGTTAATGACACTGATTATTAGGACTGAAACAATTATAACTAATTTGTTCATTGAATCTTTAACTAGATTAACGGTACACAGACTCTAAAACATGGTATTTGCTAAAAGAATAACCTACCGTATTTTCACGACCATAAGGCGCACCGTACTAAAAGGCGCAGTCTCAGTTATGTGTCCCATTCGACTGAAAATTTCTTCAAATTTTCAGTCGAAGTCTGCTCTCTCCTCAATGTTACAGACTGCAGCTTTAAGGCATCTTTTTTGGATTAATAAAAAAAGAAAATACTAAAATAATCAATAGGAAAAAGATTTAAAAAAAAAAAAAAAAACTTTTTTTTTTAATTAGGTGTCAAATGTATTTCAGGTTTGATTTAAATGTTTCCAATCAAATCATTTCACACCATCAAGGAAAGGCAAAAATAAATTCCTAATGGTGGTATGGTGGAAGACACCAAGCCAAGAAGTGTCCCTTATTTAATTTTCATAGTTGGTAACCCTACATCCTTTCCGTCCAGCTCTTCCAGGACTTACTCTAGTCCAACGCTCCAATTTCCCAATGGTTCATCACTTCTTTCTCAGTAGTAGTTAGGGTTGAGAATTGATAAGATTTTCATGATTCCGATTCCCTTATCGATTCTATGAAACGATTTGATTCCTTATCGATTCTCTTATTGATTCTGTTAACAATGAACTTGGTAAGTGCACGGTGACATTAATCTACCTTCGCCTGGGACATTCTATTTCTGCCTAACTCTGCGACAACAGAAGGCAGTAAACGGGAGCTGCCAGCCTCTGAGCGAGCCAGGCTACCCGTCTCCTCCCAGCCATCTAAATCTAAAGGAGAAGGCATCCATTTAATGAAAAAGCACTGAGATGAGTAGGACTGATTAAAGCCAGTATCAGTACTCCAAAAGCAGGTATGGAAATCATATTTGTAATACACACTTGCTGTTCAAAATCGCATTAAAAATGTGAAGTTGATTTGACTGTGGTTACTGCTTGGTTATGGGGCACCATCACTTATTACTGCATATTTTATCGACTAGTAAGTTAGTGGACGTATTGTGGAGCACCACTCCAAGTTAGTATCAGGTAGTGTTAATTTATATTTACACCACTTACCTTCTACCAGGTTCCCAGTCTGGATACCTGAAACAACAGGAAATCTGTTTATCAAAGGCTTCCCCATCTCTGCAGAGCTTCTGGTTCATTTCTGTACCGTATGAACACATTATATATATATATATACGCATTATATAGGAAGTCATTTCTACAATCCTTTACTTCAACTATAACTTTATTGCCTGGTTCCAGTCTGTGCCACAAATATGATGATCTAACCTTTAGCTCTGCTTGCTTTTTAATTTGTTTGTTTAATTCTGGCTCTGACTTACATGTCCAGAAGCCTTCGCCTGTTCTCAGCATGTCGGAGGCCATTAAGGTGCTGGTCCCACTCCTGCCAGAAGAACAAAACACAGATCAGTCAGTCAACATCCTCAATACGGATACAGTAGCTTAAAGGCTTATCATCCAGAGAAGCCGAGAACAGTAGGATGGGTCTGGTGAATATTACTAAGGCTTTTCTCTGTTGTTTAGCTCTTAATGTTGTGAACACTGATTCCATGTTGATAAAAAGCCAAATCAAAGGTTCTGTCTCTCTGAGATAAAATGGTATGGCTGCACGGTGTTCTGGAAAGAAAAGGCCAATAGAGGTGCTGTCTGTTTGCCTGTTGGAAAATACATAAACTTTGCTGCTGCAGCTCAAGCTGAGCATCTTTAGAGAACCTGACTAAACAGGGAGGATCTCAGCAGAACAAGAGGCTGAGATGAAGCTGCGGCATTAAATGCTTCATGAAACCAACATGGAGATGGACTACCTAAGAACCTGGACCCACTGCATCTCTCTGGGATCTGTTACAGCACTTCAGCTCAGAAGGTAAGGAAACCAAAGACAGGCTCATCATGCTGAAGAGAGTGAAATGAGAGGATTTAACCAAGTAAACTGGGGCTTCAGTCTCTTGAAACATAAGGTGATAACCAGCTCTCATGGCTGACAGAAAGCTCAAACATTTACAGTTAGTCCCAAAAGAAAAGAAGAAGCAGGCTGGACGTACTCACCATGGTGGAATGAACATCAAAGTCACAAAGAGAGCACACGTGAGGGAACATGGGGGGTATGACTCCCAGGAAGTCCTGGATCTTCCCGCTTGAAGGTGTGCCCATCCTCCTTGACATAAACATGGGGTCTGATGATGGCCCCATGCTGTACCCGGAGCTGTAGCTGTCCCGCATGGAGCTGAAGCCAAAGTCTCCAGAAGAATGGACCCTGGAAAGGCCCTGACCCAGAGACGGGTCCCAGCTATCCCGCCCGCCTCGAAAAGCTGCTTCAGAGGAAGAGGACGCAGCTCCTCGATCCCCTCCGCCAACTTTACGGCTCTTCAGCTGCATCAGGATGCGGGGCAGCGTTTCCATGCTGATGTCCTCGTCAGGGAGTTCAGCCAGAGCGTCCAGGTCAGAGGGCGACAGGCCCAAACTGGAAAACAGCTTCATGTGACGGCCAAGATGACCACCTCCATCTGGGCTCTCCATCCCGCCCATCCCAAGGCCCGAGGACCCACCCCCCATTGAGCGACTGGGACCCTGTTCGTTCATGTTAAAGTTCAGCCCCCGACTCACAGAGAACGCTGTCTGAGAACCATCGGACTGAGACTGCTGAGCCATTACTTCACCAGGTGGAGGCAAGACAGAGAGAAGCAGGCAGCAAAGAGTCTATGAAAGGTTCCTCTTCTTCTCTGAAGAATGTCTGAGTTCTGCTGAGACACAATGAAGCAGAGAAAACCTTCAACCAAAGAGTCCAGAGGGAAGGCAGAAGCTGGTGGAGCCGCCTGAGCCGGCGAGATAACTGTAGAGGGAAGATCACAGCAGGAGACAGAAAAGGCTGCACCTCTACATGATGTGGAGCAGAGTGATGGAGAAGCTTAAAGAGGCACGGCATCATTATAAAACTTTACAAAGCAAAACCAATGCCTGCAGGCTGAGAAAGTCTGTTAAAAACCTGATTCTACAGAAGGAAGCCTGGAGAAGGACATCTTCACCATTTCTACTGCTTTCAAACCAGGACCAAAGAGTTAACTGAAACATACCATTTTTTTTTTAACTATGAAACTGGATTTTACTGGAGATGAGATTTGGAAGAGAACTGCAGGTTCAGTTATCTAGGCATCAGACAAATTGAAAGGTCCACAATTCAAGAAAAGAAAGAAATGCAAGTTTCAATGCAAGTATCAAAGTTTGTATTTTGTTCAAGTCATAGATTAAAACTCACTTTCATTAATAGTTTTAGTTTATGAACCAAAGCAGGAGGACCTTTTCATTCAGACCTTCTGCCTCTGAAAATCAATGTTTAATTTACCAGAATACATCTTCAACACTGCGACTGGATGACGTAAAACAATAATATCGTTATTGCCAAGTTTACATGGACACAAAAATTGCACTGAAAGCCTGATCAGATCAAAAATGTGTCATGCAAACATGTAAACATGAAAAGTGTAATTCAATTTGGTCCAATCAGAAAGAAATTTCATTCCGATAAAGATGTTTTTTTTTCCCCGATCGCCATTCTGATTGCTGTCCATGTACACACCGAATTTGATCTTCGGAGTAAAATCAACTCTTCTGTGCAACATCAACGTGACATTTTTCTTTTACGGGACAAGAGGGGAAAAAAAATGGGGACAAAAACAATGATCAAGTCCTTGAAAGTCTGAAATAAGGGACTACTATGGCTTTAGAAGAGAATGCAGCACAGGATGAGTACTGTACAAGTCATGTCAAAAAATTATCCTTATGTGGTAAATCTGCAGTCCTACGAAGCACAACGACAAGACACTAAATTAACTATTCAAGTGAAATACTCTCAAAATTCCCGTGGCAAAAGAAAGTTATTAATAGCCAAATTCATGAGTAACTATAAAGTGTCACTCCTTACTGTAAAACTTGAATGCACCACAAAGCTATTACCACAGCTTTTGCACATCATGTGGCCTAATACATCAAATAACTTAGTATGAGAAAAGATGCATCTATTAATGTTACAAAACAAATAGACTGAAGGAAAAAAGTGCCATCTTATATGATTTTTACTGTTAATTTTCTCAACAAAGGTTTCAAACTAACAACACAGTGGCTGGGAGGTGCATATTTCCCAAAATCACACACAGGTTAAAATATAACCAGCTCTGAGGGATGTCTCAGCAAACGAGTGGCTATTTCAAAAGACAACAGCACCAAAGTATATAATAAAAGCTACAGATTTTAACTTGAAAGTTGGGATACAGTGCTTTAGCCAGCACCTGCAGCGAGTATTTTTTCATACAATATATTTTTGAATCAAGCATTCACAATTTTAACAGAATATTTCTTATATATAAACATTATATTGCCTTCAGCCTTTAACATATATAACTCATTGTAAAAGAACAGATAAGTTACGTTTCATTTCATAACTTTAGAACTATATAGGTGTTTATTCCAGCTTATAAAAAAGGTCAAAAGTGTCCAGACAAATTTTATTATAGGTTTTTTATCGCAAAGATTCTTGATTTTTGATAAATAGAAAAGATAAAGCAAAATATGTTAGGAAATCTTGAATAAATAAATCTAGATGTGAATCATCTTCTGATAACTTTGTATTCCAGACTATTTTCAACAGGTCTGAGTTGAAACCTGTTGGCTCTGTGGAAATTTACTCCTGATCAAAGCTAAATATTTCCTACCGTTTTCATATATTTTCTGAAGTCCTGACACCACAGTTCTTCGCAGAAGAGCAAATAGAAAATTCATTCTTCAATAATCAGTAGGCTAAACGGTATTGCTCCCCTCTATTGAAAGTCCAAATGAACAAAACATCAAGTAGACAGACGGCACCAAATCCTACAAAGGCACTAAATTGCCCCTAAGGCGGAAACCATTTAAAACTATCAGATCATAGTGCAGCTAATCAACCCTTTAAATGTAATCTATCGAAAAATAAAAAGAACAGTAACAAAACCTTCGTTACCCCTGCAGTATAATCCCATTTAGCTAACATATGCAATCCGAATCAGTTCATATAAACCGTTAGATTTCTAATTCAGCAGAGGCTGAATATAAATATTAGTAGACAGCTTATGAATTAGTGTTGTAAAATTGGTTAAACGCAGTTTAAATCAAAATTGTTCCCACAGATCAGCAGCAGATTTAAGGTTAACGTTAGCTTCCAGCTAACCGTCCAAATATTAACCGGGATAAAAAATAAAAAAAAATCAGGTTTCAATAAAGTAACACGAACGTTTTTGTTTTGTTTGTTTTGTTTGGTTTTTTTTTGTGGAGAAAGGTAAAATAGAAAATATTGAGATGCTGGTTTTCAATTCAGCTTGAGGGCCTAGCTTTAACCAAACCTCCGTTGGGAAGCTAACGTTAGCTTAACATGCTAACATGAGGGGCTATTTCTTGTGTGTTGCCTAAAGAAAAAAAACAAGCAAGCACCTGAAGATAGCCGCTGCTCGACGTTAAAGTTCACTTACTTAGAGCACAGAGTGCATTTGTGAGATTTTAATTTATTTTTTTATTTATTTTTTTTTACTTACCGCAGACGCACACTGTTGCAGTCGCTACTTCTTCTTCTTCTTATGTTTTGTATTTGCGGATGGCAACCAACTTAAGATGCATATACCGCCACCTAGCAGACTGGAGTGTGGTTATCAGTAATGTCAGAGGGAAGTTATTAATTCAGGTAATGCACCTACTGTATAAGTTGTTTGCCAAACGCCATTAAAAAAAAAAGAAGAAGAAGAAGTTATTAATTCACCTCAATGGCATGAACGAAACTGCATATTATCTATGAATCAATATCTATACAAACTTACATATAAATGAATATGTAGTCACTACTTCTTCTTTTTGTAGTGTTTTTTTTTTTTATCTTCTTTTTTATGGCGGTTGGCAAACTAGTTAAAGTGTAGTACCGCCTCTAACTGATAAGGAGGTAAAAA